TGCCTGGATTAGGAATGAGATCAGTTGTTATCTGTGTGTTCAAGTTAAGAGAAGAGAGTGGTAATGGAGGAAATGTGTAGTCTGATAAGCCTGATATTAGGTGGCAAAAGTCATGAACGCAAGCATTCACTGGCATTGAAGAATTAATTAGACCATTGGTAGGACTTTTGGGGGAACATGTGTCTTGCATCTCAACCCTACAGGTAAGACTTGACAACTAAATAAAACCTATAGAACTATATTAAGCACCTCAAGTCCTCTAAGCCATTAGGGTTTATAGGTTAAGAAGCCAGGCTGGTTTCTGGTTATTCTGATCTTTCGCCCATAACGGTTTGCTTATTAGCTCTTAAGCAAATAAATATTACTGTACTCAACCGGGTGTGTTGAGCCAGTTCGGACTCAGTAGCAACCCTACTACAAGATCCTACATACACCACCTGCACAATTGTTATGTTTGAGCTCATTGTTGTAGTCACTATATGAGCTCATTGTTGTAGTCACTATATCAATCCATCTCATCAAGGGTCTCCCTCTTTTGTTTACAGACCCTCTACTATACCAAGCCTGATGCTTTCTGCCGGGAACTGGTGTCTTCTAATAATATGCCCAACTTAAGTGGAGAGGAAGTGTTTTGAGAATGATGAGGGCAATGAATGTACAAATGTGCTTTACATAATTGATGCATGTATGGATTGTGATAAGAGTTGTATGAGCCCCTAATAAAATGATTTAAAAAAGAAAGAAAAGAATAATAATATGCCCGAAGTGTGTGATGGGAAGGAGTCTTTCCATTGTCACTTCTAAATATTAGAAGCGACTAATCCTAATCCGAAATAAAAAGTAGACATAAACAGTGTCAGTTACTGACTAAAATGTCTACCTCTTAGATATAAAACACCATTCTCCCCTTTCTTCAACAGGACTCCTGTGCTGCTTTCAGGGCCAAGGGTGTATGCTTAGGCAGACTTTCCCATAGCATCTGACAGCTGGTTTTCTCCTTTCTCCTTGGGGAAGAATCAAGCAAATTCAGAAGATAATCCTAAATCCTTTTCTAACTTCAAGTTAACCCACAGACATGAGTATATGTGACCCTGAAAAATCAAACTTCCTCTCTGCTTAATGTGGACAACTAATAGTCCTTCTCATCTGGCAGCTAATCAAAGTGACCACCACCCACGACCATCACCCTCCCCCAAGCCCAAGATGTTCCAGGCAAGAGAACAAACCACGCGCGTGGGAATGAGTCACGTTTCCATTCTCTGTCCAAAAATGAGCAAAAAATTAAAAATTTCCACTTAATTTATAATCAGAAGAATCTATACATCTCCATTTTTAAAAAATGAAAGGGTAACTATTTTAAATCTCTAAATGCTACTCATTGCAGTCTTCACAAAGATACTTTTTGAAAAAATACTTGTGTACTTCAGCCATCGCTGGAACTTGCGTATTTCAGTCATCGAGGGAGATAAGGGTTCTATGTATCTGATGCCAAATAACTAGTCAATCCTCCAATCATTTCAGGTGTTTTTCACAGAGCTGGTGGTTCTGTAGATACAGGTTGATTCTATCCTGTCTTTTGTGTTATCTCAACAGTATATATGAATACAGATCTATTTGTTTGGAATGTTTCTCAAGGCCAATGTCTTATTATAGTCCCAACACCTGCAAATACTTGGCAGAGTTTTTGTTCCATTCTTTCCAAATCCCCCACTCTTCCCATCACCCTACCCCTATCATTTGCCATTATGAAACTGTCAGTTTATATATTATTCCCTTTCTTTGATGTGTTAATTGTCTATCCTTGACCCAGGAAATGTGCAGTTGCTGGAGCATAAAGTTAAGTTTTAAATCACAGTTCATGGGAAAAACATAAGTCCAAAACAAAGAGGCAGAAATCTATAGTTAGTAGGTAGCAGGGAGAAAGGCTATATAACTCAGGATATAGAGGCTTATCTCCATTTCTCCTCCTAATCAATTCTGTGACTTGGACAAACAACTCAATACCAAAGCCCCTGTTTACACAAGTCCAAAGAGTAGGGCTTGGACTCGATTAAGTCCAAGGTCAAACATTTCATAATTCTAAGAACTGAAGTCATGAGGTAATTCCACTTTACAGTTTTCATGAAATCTCTTGATGGTACAAATGGTTAAACATTCGTACAAATGGTTAAACATTCTGCCACTAACCAAAAAGTTGGCACTTTGAATCCACCCCGGAGTGCCTTGGGCGAAAGGCCTGGCAATTCCCTTCCAAAATATGTCAGCCATTGAAAGCCCCCCAGAACACAGGTCTACTAATCAGACATGGGATCTCAATGAGTTGGAATCACCTCAATGGCAACCAGTTTGGGATTTGTTTTTAGTTTTTTCACCCCTGATATGAAAGAAAGAATGGCTTGAAGAGATCATCAGATGAGCTTGACATTTGTACAAAATTTACGAATATTCAATATAAATCACCAAATAGGCAGAAACCATTGTTTGTGTGACCATGTGCAACAATAAATTACAGGACTGCTTGCTGAGTCACATTCTGAGTGTTAATACCTTCATCAACACTGTAATTTTACACAACCTAAAATGAATTTTTTTTTCAGAGCAGGATAGCAAGAACATCTCCATTCCTGTCATGCCTCCACCCGCCACCAGCCTTCCATCCTATCTGGGTCTTCCTTCAAGCTTAGTTTATATAATCATGCCCATTTTTTAAGATGGCAATCTTACTGTTCATTTAAACATTTTCTTTTTCTGGAATGTTTGTTAAATAGAGCCCTTCTTCGGGAAGGTTTTATACCATAGAGTGGTGAGGCAATGGGTACGAAACAATTTTCTGGATCTCACATTTGTAAACATCAATGTGAGTTTACATCAGGGCTTTTAAAAAGTAGGCATTTAGATTTGCACAGAAACCTTATGTGCTCCAACAACAGATGATCACAGATTAATTGATTACCAAAAGTCAAAACCTCTGTCTACTAGCAAAAGGAAGAGTGAGACACGCGTGTCCCCTGTAAGTAGCTTTTGACTTAAGGGGGATCCACTGAAACATGCCTGGAACATCCTGGTGGCATTGTGGTTATGGGCTGGGCTGCAATCGGCAAAGTCAGCAGTTCTAAACCACCAGCCACCCCAAAGGAGAAATATGGTACTTTCTACTCCTGCCAAGAGTTACAGTCTCAGAAACCCACAGCAGCAGGCTACCCTGTCCTACAAGGTCACTGTAGGACAGCGAGTTGGAACTGACTCGACGGCAGTGAGTTTGAGTTTTTTGAAGTCTGAATCATGCTGCCACTGAATCCACTGAAATCCTTACAGAAGCAGATGGACATACCTTTCTCCTGGGGATGGGCTGGTAGGGTCAAACTACCAATTGTTCTGTTAGCAGCCAGGCACTTTAACCACTGCACCACCAGCAGGGGCTCCTTTTAAAAGGAACCGATCTAACGCAAAAAAGTAAATTTTCATGATTGGACAAAACCAAACTTCCACGCCATCCACTGAAGACAGCTACAACTCCCAAGGCAGGAACTACAAACAAGTGCTTCCATCTCGAAGCCACACAAAAACCGGAACCCAGGCACAAATGCTACACTGGCTTAATTCCTTAATCTTTTCAGTTTACAAATTTTTATTTCAGGGATATAAGTAGCTCTCTGAATTACCTGGTACACTGATGGTTCTTTTTGGTGTTGTGTTTAAGGCAGGCTGAAAAGGCAGTGGGTTTGGGGGTTGAAATGCTTTTGCACAGTGGTTACACGCTTGAGTGCTAACCAGAAATCAGTGGTTTGACTCCTCTGCTTCTGTGCAGAAGAACAATGAACCAGTTTGACTCACCAAAGAATTACACAATTGAAAACCCTAGTTTTCCTCCATTCTACAGGGGTCGCTATGAGTCGAAATGGACTGAACGGTAGGTACTGGGTCCTTTGGTTTAATTGCTTATGAGTCTATAAGTGGACAATGCCAACCCTTGCTTTGTTTCATGCACCCAGAAACAGACGAGCATAAACGAATACCCTTCACCAAAATCTCTCGCCTACATAGATCTACTCAGACACCTTCACTCACACCTACAGAGACACTCCCAACTTTCCCATTGCTATACACATGCATATGCAAATCAGCACATATTCTAATGCAGTACACCCACACAGGTACTCACCACATACTTAAAAGAGGTGGAAAGATCATAGCAAAGGTAAGTAATGTATAATATGTTACTGACAGAGGAGCCAAACCTCCTGCCAGCGAGTCGCTTTCAATTCATAGTGACCCTATAGGCCTTCGAACTTCCAAGATTAAATCTATGGGAGTGGACAACCTCATTTTCCCCTGGGGAGTGGCTGATGGATTTAAACCACTGGCTTTGAGGTTACCAGTCCAATGTTTAACCCACAGCACTACCAGGGCCCCTTGAGAAAGGATAAAACCAAGAGCAGCTCACTGTCCTCGAGTTGATTAGGACTCACACTCACTGCCATTAAGCTGATTCCAACTGGCGGTTACCCTCTCGGACAGAGTAGAACTGTCCCTTTGGGTTTCCCAGACTTTAAATCGGTACAGTAGTAAGCAGCCACAGCCAATCTCTCTCCTGCCTAGTGACTTGTGGGGTTAACCTGCTGACCTTGTGGGTAGCAACTCAACACCAAGCCCACGATGCCACCAGGGTGCATCTCTCTTCAGTGGAGTGGCTGGTGGGTTTGAACCCCTGACCTTGTGGTTAGTCATCCACCACTTATCCAACAGTGCCACCAGAATGCTATTTTCCTGTGTTGATGTGGTGGGCCCCGACCCCATGCAAATCAGAATTGGCCAGAAGTATATAAATGCAAGTGAAGTGTATGCAACAGATTAACAGGATGCAGGGAGAGCCTGCAGACAAATAGGTCATTGCTCATGAAAACAACTTGGTGTTAACTCTCTTGCCATAGAGGGAAAAGGAACCGATTTTCTCAGGGGATTGGCTCAGTGTAACTGTAGATATTTCCCAGCTGCCTTACCTTGAGCTTTTCAAACCGATCATTCAGGGATGCAACTTGATGGTCTCGATGACGGCCCACCAGTTTGCATAAGGCACAGATCAATTGGTCATCAGATACACAATACATATTCACTTTCTCATTCTCATGGTCCAGGCAGGTGATCCCTCGAAGGTGTGTGTCTGGCACTGGTTCTACCAAGCGATGGCTGGTGAAGGGTTTCTTGTTGGGGTGCGTGGCCCGCAGGCAACGGTCACAGTAGGAGACCTCACAGGTGATGCAGGTTTTCACAGCATCCCGTGGGGGGTCCTGCTCGCAGAACTGGCAAGCAATTCGCTCACTAGACATGGTGGTGCTGGGCCTGTAAGTCCTCTCCCGGCGGCTCTCACTTGGCGAGTTGGGCCCACTTACGGAAGCCTTCTGGAAGCGGTCGATAATGTTCTGCAGGGTCACATTCCTCTTGAGGCCGTCCAGACCTCGGTGGTTCAGAGAGATAACATACCTACAAGTAGGGCACTGGAAAGCAGTAATGGGTTCAATGGATTCACCAGAGCTGCAGCTAGAGACCAAGATGCGATGGGCACAGCTGAAGCAGAGGCTATGAGCACACGGGAGCAGAAGGGGGTCTTCAAACAACTCTAGGCAGATTGGACAGGTCAATTCCGACTCCAGTGTTTCCATCTTTAGTGAAAATAATCCTGCTGAGGCATTAAGAACCACAGAGGCTGGGCTTTCACCTGCAAGGAATAGAAAGCAACAGGTAGTCAGCCTTTCCAAAGGAAAACAGAGACGTAGCATCATTATACATTGACCCATGGAGGCCTCACATGCTGGGCTCCCCAGGGATGCGTGAGCAATATGGAAAGCAATTTGGGAATTCATCAGAGAGTTGCTTCTGGGTTTCCCCTCCTTCGAACCTTGTTCTTGACAAATGCCTGGGTTTGGTTTTATTTTCCGACACTAATAAGTAGAGCCTAGTGGCCACCTATGAATCCTGATTTACTGCTTAATGTTCCTGGTCCCGCTCAAAGATGGGTACGGACCATTCTCTAAACACATTCTCCACTGACTTGCCTTGTCTGGGACTATAATGAGCCAGAGGCCTTGAGAAATTCTCCATCTCCACTCTCCAATGTCATTCTCTATTTCACTCCAAAGTAAAATATGGGGCTGTTCTTATTTCAAATCCAGTGGAAAGAAAATAAGGCCATATTTCAAAATAACTCTCTAGTTCTTGAAATGAGTTCCATTCTGGGAATCAGTGTGAAAAAAAGAAGAAGACACAGCTTCAGAAAAATGTAGTTCTCAGTGTAGGATCGTTAAGTTTTACTTCTGAGTTTGGCTCTGAGTTACTTCCTTTTTCCAGTCATGGAAATATCTACTTCATGCCATTTCTAATAACCTAATGACTGGGGACAAAGAAGATCATTTTTGCTTTTGCACCTTGACACGCTTTTCAAAAAATCCTTCATCTTGTCAAGTTAAACAGGAAATGATTTTCACTCTTGGACTTATGCAATGGCAACCGAACCAAGCTGAGTGCCATCGAGTCGATTCAGACTTGTGATGACATCAAAGAGGGTGTCCAAGGATGTAACTCTTTAAGGGAGCGGACAGCCTCAACTTTCTCCTGGGAAGCTGCTGGCAAGTTGGAACCCCCAAACTTGCTGTGAGCAGTCCAATGCCTACCCAACAGTACCACTCGTGCTCCTTCACTCAACGAACAAATTCACGGCCAGCAAGTCGATGCCAACTCAAAGTGACCCTATAAGGCAGGGTAGAACTACCCCTGTGGGTTTCTGAGACTTTGAGACTGGTCTTTTTCCTGCAAAGCAGCCGATGGTCTTGAACAGCTGACCTTGCAGTTAGTTGCCTGACTCGTAGCACACTGCACCACAAAGACTCCTTACTCAACGAGTAAGCTCTCAAACTCACTGCTATTGAATCGATGATGACTCATAGCGACCCCGCTGAGGGTTGGAGAGACTGTAACTATTCATGGGAGTAGAAAGCCCAGTCTGTCTTCCTCGGAGCTGGTGGTGGTTTTGAACTGCAGGCCAGGTGGATCGCAGCCCACCTCGTGACCACTTACACCACCATGGTTATAGTTGCTGATAAATGCTGAAGACATTCAAGGGGGCGCTTCCAAAAGGTCGTGGGAAAATTCCACGATCTTTTTCGATTTTGATTTTCCTTCTGTTTGGTTTTCTTACTACATAAATGCCCACTGAATTTGCACAAGCCTGCTGTGAAGCTCATCCCCACCCCTGCCCCCCATTTCTTTTACTTCCTATACCAGGAAGCAAATCAAAATCAGAATGCAAATCAGGCTTACCATATTAATTAGAGACATGAGCATTCAAAGATGTCTGACAGCCAGACATGTTCAGATCTGGAGGCCCTCATTCTAGGCTAGGGTGTCTCACAGACGAAGAGAAGTCACCCAACTCGTAAGCGACCAACCTCTTGCTCAATCCACAGGCATTTCTGCGCTGATCATGCCCTCGGGATTTCAGTACAACCTTCACACACAAATGAGCCATAGTTTGTGTTTCTGTTAGCCATAGTGGGAGAAAACGATACAACTTATCTTATTGACTGAAGATGTTCATACATTGAATAAGAAGGGCATCTTTTAATCAAAAGAGGAGTAGTGTTTGCTCACCATCTCCTGATCATCAGAAGCCATCATCGAGTCTTGACAATTTGATGCTACAGTTGATATTGTACCTGTACCAGCGTTTATCCACTCCCGTCAAGAGTTACAGTCTCAGAGACCCTCGGGGCAGTTCTACTGTGTCCTATAGGGTTACTATGAGTCGGCACCAACTTGATGGCAGTGGGTTTGCTTTTTGGTGTTCCTCACAGGAACTTAAAAACTGAGTACTGTATGTCCTGAATCGGTGAAATAGATCCCAACCCACCCCCACCCCCGAAATTGTTTCTAAATAAAACCATGTAAGTGCACTAAAGTAACCTGTTACTTAATGGACATCTGTAGGAAATTAAGACTGTGAAAGTCCAGAATCTTTCTGTGAAACACTCACTGCCCAGTTGGTTGACTAAGTTCAGATGTGTGTAATAGCCACTTTTTTAAAAAGTGAGACTGTGGCATTTTTATTTTTACAGTTTGCAACAATTTGAAATTTGTTTGGCCCAAGATTTTATAGCTTAGAACATCTATCAGCATTTTTTTATAGAGGCTAAAAAAAATCATGCAGTTAAGATGCACATCGTTCATAGAATCTTAGAATTGTAAGAGATCATGGGTATGGCAACTTTCAACAAACTCGATAGGAATGTTGCCTTAAATAGCTCCAGCCTGAGGTCCCTCGGATGCTCAAATTCAACATGTCCGTAAATGGGCTCGTTATTGTCTCACTCATATCTGTTCCTCTATCTTCCCAATCAGGTGAATAGCACCATCCAAGACTAGAAACCCAGGAGTTCACCCATTTCCATATTATCACCTCAGTGTCCGCCTGGTGGCTTCCAGAATATCCTGTTTTATGGTGAATAGCACCATCCAAGACTAGAAACTCAGGAACTCACCCATTTACATAGTATCACGTCAATGTCCACCCAGTGCCTTCCAGAATATCCTGTTTTGTTACATTCACATATTTGCCACTCCAACTCACTCTTCTTGCTCCTTGATGGCATGAATTCTTTCTTTTCTTTTTTAATCTATAGCACAGCACTTCACATAAACTCAACACACACACACATACACAAACTAACTCACTGCCATAGAGTCAATTCTGTCTCATAGCAACCCTATAGGACCGGGTAGCACTGCCCCTGTGGGTTTCAAAGACTATAATTCTTTAGAGGAGTAGAAAGCCTCATATTTCTCCCAAGGAGCGGATGGTGACTACAAACGGTTGACCTTGGAGTTAGCAGCCCAGCGGTGTAACCACTACATCACCAGGTTCCTCCTCACATAGGCTAGGTGTCAAGTAATTGTTAAATGAAAGACTCTCAGCTAAAATAAGTAATAAGGGAGCTAGCATTTATAGAGCACCTCCTGAATACCAGCTAGGTTGTTAAGCACTTTACATATATTACCTCATTTAATTCTTACAGGAAGCCTGCATGTGAGGAAGGTATTATTGTTATACCCATGTTAAGGTTAGGAAATTGAGACTCCGAGTTGTCAACTAAAACCAATCAGGGACATCCAACAAGTTAAGTGGCAGCGTCCAGGGCCAAACTTTCCCCTACATCGTGATTCCAATCATGGCACCCTTTTCCCTGAAGTTTATCTTGACTATTCACAAGAGGCCTTCTGAGAGCAGATTTCTGCTTCTATTTTTGTCTCTCTGTGGCCCTCTGTGATTGTCCAAATCTGTCAGAGAATTTCAGAATCACATGACTTCTAGGCCTGTCTCCACCTCACACTGCATTTATTACTATCACTTCTAGATGGTGTACAGCTTCCTTTCCTCAATTTTGGGGTTGAAAGCTACCTGAGAGATTTGAAGGACTCCAAGCCAAAATGACAGTAGGCAAGGAGCATTGCTGGGGGGAAAAATCACTACTCTCCCAATTTCTTAGAAGAATGTCCGCATCAATTCTTAGGTGAAGAGGAGGGGCTCTTCAATGTTCCCTTGTAAACTTTTTCCTGAGTCCATGTGAGACTTGAACTTCACTATGAAATATTGAGCATGGGAGAGCATGCTGTGGGTCAGGATTCCCTTGGATAATAAGGTCCGAACAGGCTTTTAAAACTAAGGAGTTCTTAATGTCATAGAACTGTTTGCAGAATTTTGTCTGTCATATGTGATTTTTCCTGGGAAGATCAATGCCAAAAGCTTTCAAGAGATTCTCAAAGAGTCCCTGACCAAATAAAGAAGCAAACAACTGTGACCTAAAATAACATTCGGTGAGGCAAGAAAAAAAAAATCTCGATTTGGGCTTTTATCTCTGCTTTCCAGCAATAATTCATGGAATTTAACAGCAATCAAGATCACCTGTTTTTTTTTTTTTTTTCTAAAACAGCCAGGCAACACTTTAAACACATGTAAATGAGTAGGGGCTGCATAGGTCCAACCTCAGAAGGAGAAGGCATGATGGAATTAATCATATATATCCATCGATCTTGTATATGTATTAGCACCAGTTTGTATATTCATTGAGAACCCCAAGGAGTGGAAGACTCTGGGTCTCTCTCCTTTGGGTGAGAACAGGCATGCGTGGAAGAACATGGCATGTTCTGAAGGACAGCGGGACCATGGGAATCTTGTGCTTCAGCATCTCCCAGACCTTGTCGAATGCATCTCTTCACTTGTACTTGCATCCTTTCTCGTTATAATAAATGAGTACAAGTATAGGTAGTCCCCTTGAATTCTGAGTCATTCTAGCAAATGACTGAATCCACGGGAGCAGAGAGAAAAAGGCATGTGGGTGGTTGGTGTCAGAGAAAAAAAGGGCCAAAAAATATATACACATGAGTTATCTTCACATTTTTGAAAATTAGCCAGGTCAGGTTTTAGAAATGTGCCTACCTTAACTGACTTTGGCCTTATAACGAATACTATAAGGTATACCACTCTTGCTCATTTTATCTAGCTTGTCTATATACCACGTCTCTCTGTTGTGTGTGTCAGAGAGTAAGTGCTTTGCTCAATTGGGAGGAGCTCTCTTTTGTCAACTTCTTTGAACAGATGTTCATTGCATCTCTCATTTATGAGGCCACCTTGTTCGTGCATTCTTGATATTTCAGTATCCGTTTAAC